TGTTATGTTTTTAAAAAAAAATTATGGTACGAGTTAATTAGGACAGTAAACAAAAATTAGTTGTTTTATCAATTAAAGTGAGGTTTAATGTATTAAATATTTAAACTCGTTTTTGACGTCAATTTAATAAGAATTAACTGTAGAACTCAGTAGTTTAACGTAGGATAATCGTTCAATGCCATTTTTACGGTATTGCTAATGAAACCCTCCCTCCTAATTTGTCTATAATTCTTTCCTTAATCATGTTGAATCATTTGTATGTAATAATGGCTATTTTAAATGTGTTAGCCCCATTGCCAAAATGTTTACACTCGAAACGTTAGCTGCGTTAGAAGCGTCTTCTAAATAAAAATAGCATCGCCCTACTCGCATTTTTTTCCCTTCCTTTTTTAAAATAGCTACTACGAATTAAAAAAAAGTAGCAACTACAGTACCTCTTAAATACTTCGGTCTTAAGCGAAACGCCATCTGTTTCGAACAACTCAGTTGTTTGAGCCAGTCGTGATTTCCATTGCAATGATTTTGGTTATTTACAATTGTTAAAATAAAGTACATTGTGTTCAATGAACCAGCGCACTGTGTACTACATAATAAAAGTGATCTTAGTGGAACCGTCGTTGTTGTGGAGTTTCATTTCGTTTTCTTCATAATGAGCAGTAGTAGAGAAGAAGACAAAAAATCTGAAAAAACTGTGGCAGAAAGGTCGAATAGCCAGATTAGAGACATTTGTTCGTGAGAAAGCCGAAACAGCTGGACTATTATTGCTTCAATGCAAATTAGAAAACGTTTTGGACACTTGTGATAAACTAGAGAAATTAAAACTGGATTACTATGCCACCCTCGATGAAAAAGATTTGCCCAATTTTGAAGCTGAAATGGACAATTTAGAAGAGTCTATAGAACATATAAAGGTAAGCTTGCAGACCTTTATACTTAAGTTTCAACATAATGAAGTTAGAGACAATGATTCTATTGTAACTAAAATGAATTTGAAGTTACCAGATATTAATTTGCCTACATTTAATGGCCAAGTTGAGTATTGGTCAAGCTTTCAACAACAGTTTGATATCTAATAATTCTTCATTGTCTGATTTACAAAAGTTAATTTATTTGAGATCATCGCTTAAGGGCGATGCTAAACATATAGAAACTAGTGAAGATTCATTTGAATCTTTAATGAAAGTTTTAATTAATAGATATGAGAATAAGCGTATTGTGATAAATAGTTATATTTCTATTATTTTAAACTTAGAAAAGTTATAGTATGATTGTTTTAAAGACATAAGAAATCTTATTGATGTGTTAAACCGTAATTTTAGAGGTTTAAAACTTTTGAAATTAGAAAGTAACGATTTATGTTATCAATTGCTAATGAATATTATTCTACAAAAAGTAGATAAAAATACACGTAAGGAATTCGAAATGTCTCTAACAACTTCTGATTTGCCCGAATGGGATAAGTTTTTTAACTTTCTTCATAAAAGAGCTCAGTTATTAGAGAATTTACAAGGTGTGCAGCCAAATAAATCGAAACTTCATCCCGTAAATAAAAGTAAATCTTTTATTCTAAAATCTAGTTTGAAATGTTTGTTGCGTAAAATACCGCATGCAGTGGCGTACGCAAGGGAGGGGTTTAGGGGTTTAAACACCCCCCTTGAGTTCAGACAAAATGGCAAAAATAAAAATTTTAGTAAAAATTATGCGAACTATTATTTTTTAAGACTATATATTTTTATGTGCCTTATGCCTACTTTTTTTTCACATGGTATTTCTCAGAATACAGAAAAAACATTTACTATAATAGGGTTGTACTTTTGAAACCAAAATCACGTGATATATATATATTTGCTGTTCTTGGATCTTTAGGATGTCAAAAAGCAAGAATTTAACAATTTTTAATTACTTTGAGAGAAAATCACGACCTGAACTTAGTGAGGTGACAGCATCTAATACCAATGTAAGTTTTTCTGTTGTACAGAAATGTGATACTTCCGTTGAAGAAAACGTTTCTAGCATAACAAAATCTGATGAATGTGAAAGTGGCCCTCAAAGTGTTACTTC